CACACACACACACACACACACACACACACACACACACACACACACACACACTCTATCAGCATTGAAACAGGTGCAGGGAGGGAAACACTGTAACAAACTCAGGCCTGATTATGGCAGAGCAAGGTATCGAGGGACCACAGTGACAGAGGAGAAGAGTCGAAAACAAGAAGAGAGAACAATGGAGATATAATGGTGAGCATTACGGTGGTGGGATGAGAGAACAGTGTGACAGAGAAAAAGAAGCCAGCCCAGAGGGAGGCGAAACAGACAACCTTGAGATAATCTGTGGGACGGGCAGAGGGAGAAAAATAACCTTATCAGGGCAAGGAAATAGAAGGCACACTGAGTGGCGAGAGGATATGAAAACACAGACGTGAAGGCAAGGAAGAAGGGGTGAAAAAAAAGCCTCAACAGAAATAAGAGGAAAGGTAAGAGTTAGAAAGCCGGAGCAAGATATTAAAAACAAACAGAAGTAAACAACTGAAAAACATTATACTAACCGAAGCCTATGAGGCCCAGGGTTTCGCCACGGATGCGGGCGGCGCCGGAAGCCACCTCGCGGATCTGCTCTACGCTCTGGACCCGCGTGCCCTCCCGGAGAGCCTGGTAGAGCCAGGTGTTTCGCCGATAAAGGTTGAGGATGTGGCACAGGGTGGAGTCTGCCGTCTCCTCCACAGCTGCCGAGGGAATGTTACACACAGCAATGCCTGAAGAAAGACAGAACAGTTAATAAAAAATTTACTCTAATTACAGTATTCCAATATACGTTTTGTCCTGTTTAATTACAGTATGAACAGTTAATGATTAACTGGGATGTTGGCTGATAGATTGGTTGAACTTCTGGTTATGTCATTTAATACATATCGTCATGAGAAGGTCTGAGATATGAATCAATTCAGGCCAGTAAGAGATTTTTTGAAAAGATGGTAATTAGACAAATTGCTACCATTATGTGTCACCACATGGCAAATTAGGCAAAACTACATAATACTGTAAAATCATCATGAACTGTGTTCCACTGGAACTAAGACACACAAATTGCAACACATAAAACAAAAAATTTTAATAACTCATTTGCGTTATTTTTCATCACAGTTTGCTTTGAATCACTAATTTGGGTGACGGATCACCATGTGACCATATCATCCTAATATAATTTCTATGCAATGCAATATAACTTAAGTCATAAGTTATATTGCATTATTTCCAAGTCTTATTCCATCCAAAATGATGTGCACATGCATAATAAAGAACGCTTTAAACACTTTCTGTCAAGATCTCCCCCAGCAGTAGAATTCTCATAATTTTATTGCTTTCAGGGACTTCAAACCCCTGACCTTATGGTATTAACTTGCCTATCCTTCAGCAACACAAAGATTTCCATTATCGACACTTAAGCACTTCTGCCTGCCCTCATTCTCCTCTAATGTCCTCATCCCACTCTGTATCCGAGTGTAACAGCGTAGCCGTCTCTGGACAGCAAAAAATAGCCAGAGCCTGCTCAATCAATGGCCCCTTTTCTTCTCCCTGAGAACAGCCGTCATATCAGCGCCGCCTTCTTCAGGCACGATAGCTTTTGACTCCTGCGCTGCGAGGCAGTGTGCCTTCGGTGAGTGGGTGGCAGTTAGACACAGTATCTCGCATTGGCAGGGAAATGGCAGCTTTGTCAACTGTAAGGGCTGTTTGAGTCACCAGCCTACTGATATAAGCCTGGGTGGTGGTTCAAAGAGAAGAGGGAACTCTTCTCTCTCTCTCTCTGTGTCTTTCCCTTCCTGTCTCTTTGAACATTGTGGCTCACTGTGTGATGTCCACCATTCATCTGACTCTGTAATTCAGCCTTTGATACGGTTCTGAAAATCCATACAGTAAAGAAACAAAGAAACAGTAAAAATGAAGCAGTCCCCCTCTAGACGAAAATCATCATCAACTGCAGCGCCCCCCTTTGGCCATTTTTCGACATGCCACATTGCAGTGGCAAAACAAGCAAATAAGCAGACAGCGATCCACACTACTCGGATTACCTTAACCCTGCTCTTATTTCCTCATGAAGAAATCAATACATCACTGGATAAGGTAAGCTTCATAGCAACACAAGGCTAAGATCTTGCTCAAACATGAAAAACAAAAATCTCTGAAATGTTAAGACCGTTAAACAGACAGATACATTGAACAGAACGGAACTAAAAAAATGCACATACAAAAAAATGAAAAAAATAAAAATTATATTATTTCTACTCTACATTCTGTGATACATACAACAGAACTAAATACTATGCATTACAGGATATGACTTGATATTGGTTATGTTTTTGCCAGGATTGTTTTGAGAGGTCGTACCCAGCTCTCCAGCAGCCTTGATGTCGATGTTGTCGTAACCACTGCCGATGCGGATGATGATGCGTAGAGCTTTGAACTTTTCCAGGTCCTCTCTGGTCAGGGTGATGGTGTGGTACATCATGGCTCCCACTGCTTCATTGAGCACCTGCAGACACACACAAACTTGTGTGATGAGATTTTCTTTCTTTTTTCGTTCATTGATCTGCATTTCTTTTGTTGACCATTTTGTCCGTTCATTCACCCAATGTGGCTATTAGTCCATTTGAGTTCATAAGAACCCAAGACAATCACAAGATCACATTCCATCCTGAAGAGCCATGAGCATCATGTCGGACACTGGAGAAAGATTTCACTACAGACATCACATGACCGCAAGCAGCATTGACACAGACCTCCTTTTACAGACCTGCGCTGAAGTGGAACAAGTTATTATATTGTGTCAGAGGGGCTGCAGTTCCACATGGTCATCACAATTGCACTCAGACCTGAGTGTGTTTATGGACAAAGGATCTGGGCAAATGACTGTACAGATAGGTCAAGGCAGCTACTGATCGCAGGATAAACCTTAAGATATGATAGCATGTGGTCAGCCTAACAAATAAGAATAAAGAATAAAGATAAACCCTTTGACCCCTTTACATCTGGCAATTGAATTCTTCTTTAATGACATAACCTCAATCAGAGAAGAAGCTTTTACATGTCACAGTTTAGCTTAATAAATAACCGCATGGTGGTGCTGTCGAACCCAGAGCTATACAGATCAAATCACTTGTTCCTTGCTCATGACCTAACTTTTGTCTAAATTTCAATCAAATCTTTTGACAGATTTTTGAGATCTCCTGCTAGACAAGACAAACCCTTCTTGGTATAGAAAATCATAAAATGTACTTGAGGCAATTGTTTGCCTCAGGGTGAAAAAAAGGGTATATTCAGTCACCTCGGGGATGGGGGGTGGGGAGGGGAAGGTTGGCTTCGCTGCTCCTCTGCCACTTGACATGGACAAGGTGACCTGGCCTGTGATTTAGTCTGATGTGGATCTAAACTATTCCACCTCAGCCACGGCCCCCTGTCAGCACCTAAATAACAGCTCTGCATTCACCTCCAGCCAAACTGCATTAGCTTTCCTGTGATTAGCAGATTAGCTCTGAATTTCCATACTGCTTTTATTAGAGCAGTGTCCCGGACAGGCCTTCCAGATACTAGTTCAAGGTTAAAACACAGCGGACACGACCACACACCCTTTGTCTCTCCCTCTGGGCCGAGCCTAAAGGTCTAGTGGTGTTGTTGAGCTGGAGAAAGAGTCTTTTTTTGTGTGGCCTTTTTACTCTGAATGTAGTTTATTTTAATGGAAACTCTGACATAATCTATATCCCCCTCTCTACTGTAACCAAAGCCTTATTGCATTTAGTGACTAAAATCATTACTGATGATTCCTGGGCTTTTCTGACACGTCAGCGAGGCCTCCCCTTTTGGCATGGTGAGCGTGAGAGACAGAGTATACTGTTGAAAAGGTTTGATTCGATGATACACGTACTCTATGGTTTGTGTGCATGTGTTTGATTCTGTGGCTTACTTGGGAGGGCATTTATGGCTATGAGGTCATCCCACTAGTGCGCATATTGTGAATGTAGTGGGGATGAGAGGTGGTTGTAATGCTGAGAACAGACTTTCTCCACCTGGCATGGAAGATGTGCTGTTCAAAATGTTGCTTTTAGCATTTAGCACTTCTTAAAGGGTGACGAAGCCATGATGAAAGCTATACAGAAAAAAGCACAACACCACACAATAATGTGGAGTATGCTATAAAGAGAAAGCTATGATCCTTTATTGATTGCAGCTTTCAAATCCACTTCAGCTATGAAGCAGAAATGTGAGTAAAAGGGGGGAAGAAAAAAGAGATTCTTTGTGAAGTAATAAGCCAAACACTCTAGTGAACATTGACTTAAAAGTAATAGTTTGACATTGATCATACCAGTCTCATGTCAGTATAGTAAGTGTAAAGCTACCACTATCAGCCTTTTAGCTAGCTTACAATACAGACTGGAAACTTTATTGAAGTTTTGCTAAAGTTCAATATTCACTGCCAGTCTATTTTTGATGGGAGCCGTGTCAAGCAGCACAGAGCAGGTGAATAAGGGAGGAAGTCAGACACAGAATGGCACAGAGAATCAGGTTGATTTTCAAAGTAAAACACCCTTTGTAGACTGCACAGCCGCTTCCTGTATCTGTTTGCCTGGCGCCATTATCCAACACGTTTTCCTCTAGTTTTGTTTGTTGTTGTAAAATGTACACACACTGTGCCCACTCTGATTGGTGAGTAGGACCGTAACAGGACGCGCATGGCGCTTGTGATTGGCGAGCAGATCTGTCACACAAGGATGAAAATGGAGTTAATTGTTTAATCGTAACTGCATGACTGTTTAAAACGGGTCAGATGCGCCTTATAATTAACCTACATTTTAATCGCTGTCTTCACGATTAGCTAATGTGTTCTTTCAAATTGCAATTTCGATTTGAAAATTATTAATCATTCAGCCCTATCTTTGGGTCTTGTGTTGTTGCATTTTAGAGACATTTTATGGATAAAACAAAATATTAGTAGATCCTCTAATTGACCCTTCACTAAGCCACGCCTCCTTTAGTTATTCGTAAGTTCGACAAACAGTCATAGTTGTCACACATTTATCACGGCACTGCCACTGTTTATTACTGCACTCCCTGGAGAAATATTGTCTAATTTTTGGAAAAGGCGATCGCAGAAAGAAGCAGACAGTTTTGCAGTTGCAGGCATAATCTTAACACCACAACTGGATGAATGGTCAGGCACAATGTGATAGCCCAATGTTGACTCAATGCCATATGGGCTATCATCCAACTTTTGCAAGCCACATGTAAAAAGTTGAGTCACGAAAGACAAGGGATCATCGACCTTGGATGGTAATGTTGGAGCGCAGGTGCTGTGTGCAGGATTTGGTCTCACTGAAGTAGTATTGTAATACAATCTTGATAAGTATTCACCTTTACCTTGAGTTTCTGTATTTTCTGGTGTGCATGGAGGAGAATGTGGCAGCTGGTGTCTGGCCTGACAACATCATACTGAAACTACTGAAGTTATCAGCGCTACATCTCCGCATCCATGCAGCAGAACGAAGAGATTGGACATTTTCAATCTACACCTCCCCTCTGGGTATCTCGACTGCAAGTTATTACTGTGAACTGCTGAATATGCTGGTGAGGTGAACATTACAATCATGTTTCTCCTGATAAGGCAGTGTTAAAACAAACAAAAAGCCACCCACTCCCCCCTTCTCCTCACCGCCCAAGGTCTTTGATTGAATTGATCTCTATGCAAATGCTTCGTTTTTAATATGTCCCATTTTCATAAAAACAGCGAGAGGAAAGATGTAGCGGCTCTCACTCCGTCTGCAGACGGAGAGATAGCACTTTGGTGATACCCATCGCTGTGGCCATATATTGTTTTGCAGCCACGGCGCTGCACAAAAAGCAATAAAGAGCCTCTACAAGCCAATGTAATTACACTGCATCCCCGCCATACAAGACTCTCTATTAGAACAATGGCATTGATATAGGCATTGCACTCTGTACCACAAAGTGACATTAAATCATAATGAAGCCACTATATTTTAACTGGCAAGTGCTTATGGGGCCAATATAACGCACTTCACATATCAGCGCTGTGATAGGAAAAGAAAGATGCAGGAGTGACAGGTTCCATCTCCCCATCAACTTTCTAATGCTCTGATGTGGAGCACAGCAAATGTGCTGTGTGTGTGTGTGTGTGCGTGTGTGAGGTGACTTGTGTGTTTCCTACCTTCTCATGTATCTCCTGTGTGGACTGAGCATCACAGAAAGCGACAGTAGCCAAGTCTTTAAGGATGGGCATCTCCACGGTGCAGTCACGTCCATCCAACAGCGCCACCAGGGGGCGTGGATGCATTGGCCCGTTCATGATTTGGGGCCGAATACCTGGAGACAGATGGAGAAGGGAGGGAATATTATTTTTGGTAGAAGAGAATATTTTTTTCATCCACATCTCAGCACTAAGGCTTCAACCCTTACCACTCACAGTGGTCGGTAATCTTGGAGTTTTTATTTGTAAAGGGTCAGTTCAATAATTACAAATAGACCTACTATATTTTTCCATTTTTTTCCACTCACCTCAATTCTGAGATTTCTGCCGCTGAGATTTCATTTATGGTGCATTAAAGCATTAAGAACCACTGTACTTTCAAATAAAGAAATAGTCTCTATGAAAACGGTTGTTTCAGCAAAAACACACACTGCCGTTGAATTTGGTTAAATATAATTATTCAAAATTTTGAGGTGGTGTTTCATGGATAAGCACACTGAAAGAAACAACCATTATTATTAGACTAAAAATCAGCAAGTGACAGTCTCATTCCACCAGGAATCAATTAATCACCATTTCCTTAAAAAATAAAAGACTCAGATGATAATAAGCTACTGTGTGTGTGTGTGTGCACATCTCTGGATTTGCGTGTTCACATGTGCTGATTAGGATATAGCAGGAAGCAGGGTTTCTCCAAACTACCAAGCGTTGCTCAATAAATCAATGCGCCTACTCAAGACTGGATTAGACCCAGCCTCATTTACAGGAATCCTCTCGGTCTCATGGCTCCCAAAAGCTTACATCACACACAAAAACCCACACTTACATAGATACTTGAATGAAAGTGGATAAGAATATACCAAATGCAGGTGCATATATTCCCTTGTGTGTATGTATGACAACTGCACACTAACGTGCATACACTTGTAGTTGTTCTCATATCTCGGGTCAAGGGAGAGGATCCTACATTTACCTCAGTGTGAGTGGAGCCAGCAGCTGTGGAACAGAAGAAGAAGAAAAAAAAAAAAGACAACTGCGAGCAACACCTTTAGAAATGAGTTTCACTGCTGCCCTGCCTCAAAAGAGCCATGTATCATTGAAATGGAGAGCATTACAGAGAAAACGCTACAAGCCTGAAACAAACCCACAACCAACTCACAACTGCACTTCAGCGCACTTGACATAGTGAGTGTCGCAATTCTGGTTTTGTCTCTGCTCGACTCGTTCTCCCTCCCTCTTGCCACTTTTCTCACTTAAAGTGAAGAGAGCCGAGAGGAGCCGAGCTCCCCAGTGGGCCGACCTTCTCACACATCCCACTGAAGAAGACATGTCGCGCTGAGAAGACAGACAATTAGGAGTCCTACTTCGCACAATGTTAACAAGTGAGGAGCATCAATATTCATGCTGCTCGCCGCTCAGAAGCCAACAATGGATGGATGGACCTGAGAAGGTAAGCAACTGTTCCCCACTGAGTACCAGCGCCCTAACATTGCACAGGCCATGATCTTCACTCTCAGCAGCTCTGGATGTGTCCGAGCTAACAGAACAAGTCAAAAGTCACCTCAAGAAGTGACCTAAAACAGATGATTTTACATTTGTATCTAATGTTTTACTGCTAAGATCTGCATCTGGATGCTCAAGTGGGACCTCATTCCGTGCATGTTTGAGTGCAGCAGGTGTGTGCATCGGTGCATTTGTGCGTGCTCTTAAAAGTTATCCCGAAGATTACGATGACGTCAGGGGTTGATGTAAGGAGCAGGGTGGAGGAAGGGAAAGGGGAGGAGTGGTTGAGGAGGGCTTATTAGAGAGTCATGTTCTGTGGGATTACAGCAGCAGAGAAGGCTGATTAGGGCAGATGAAGGTGAGATTAGGAGATTTAAGATTGAGAAAGTTGTGGGCCGTTGCACAAACAGGCCGCAATGCGCAGTGGGTGGAAAAAAATAAATAAAAAACAGGTGGGAGGGGGAAAACAGTGAGACAGAAGAGTGAAATTAAAATGTAAAATGAGTGTGCATAAAAAAGAGACTAAACACTGCCTCTTAGCTTAAAGAGCTCCCACGGGACATATCAGAGAAGAAGAGGAGGATGAAAGGACAGACAGAGAGAGAGAGAGAGAGAGAGAGCGTGAGAGAGCTCATAAATGACAGGAGAGACGGAGGCTTTAAAGAAAGCCCAGCTGACAGAAAGCCAGCAGTCCAGCAGCTCAGCCTCTCAGAGCAGGGGGAGGATCGGAGCGGAGGTGTCATCTCCCCATGCCATCCTATTGTCATGGTGATCACTTAACAGGCGTTGGCTGCCAGTTTTAATGCACTTTATTTTTAGCACCACTGGCGTCTGCGTCGAGAGTTGAGGTCGGAGGCGCAGACGCCCGTATCCTCCTCCCACTCCCAGTGCAAAGGGTGGAGGAGATGTTTTCTCTCCTGACAGACAGACAGACAGACAGCCGCCTTCCCCCCTCCTCCTCCTCACCCACAGCCCACCACCAACCACCATCACTGCTTCTGTGCCTACTTATCAAACCCCCTGTTCAAGACGGCGGGAAAGGTGAGGCGTGGCGACTTGGCTGTCTGAGCCACATCTGAAACTGACAGCACGTTGAATATTAATGGAGACAGATGGGAGGTGAAGTCCATTAAACCAAACTGCTGAGGGTGTGACTGACCACATCCGAGACAGTGCACGCATGCATACAAGTGCTGAAATGATCCACAGAAAATTAAACAACGACAATTTTGATAATCAAGTAACTATTCGTCATTAATAAAACAGAAAATACAAAAACAGTTCAAGCCTCTCAAATATTAGGCTGATTTACATTCCTCAGTTTCATATAATTGTAAATTAAATATCTTTGGGTTTTGGACTATTAATCAAACAAAAACACATTTTGAAGATATCTGACCATTATGGTAACAGACATTTTACAGATTGAAGGGCTAGATGTTTTCATTTCACCAGCAAATTGCCAACTATAAGCCAGGTGCTAGGCAGGCGATGGATAATGGGTTTATCAGAATTTGTTTGCTCATATTTAATCATACATGTGCAGTAAAGCCAAAAAAATAAGCTAAATGAAGCTTAAAAGCTCAGGCAGTAGCACTGCAGAGTTGGTTGATTTCAGCATTACAGTACAAGCAACCTCTTTCACGTCACACAGTGTCATTTGATTCAAATGTATCATCAAAAATATTGATTAAGGCATTGCAGATTTGCAGCATGCAAGGCTGTCCTTAACAGAACACCTGTAACCTTCTACCTGCTTCATTTAAGCCACTAGTTACTGGTTTATACAGATCATAGATAGCAGTTGGTGTGCAGGTTAGAGAAGCTGTGAGTGAGGAGGTATGGGAGAGGAGCGGCTGTCAGGCAGTGTCAAACCCTCAGGCTGAAGTTAGACAGACTGAACTCCATGAATCATCCACTGGGTTTCTCTCTGACCTTTCAGTCTCTTACTCTTCCAATCTCCCTCTCACAGACTCTTCCGCTGTTCCATTTTACTGTATTGTCTGCGGCAGTGTATTTTCACAGATCTCTCCCTGTTACGATAGCATCTTCTGACAGCTCCTCCTTTCTTCCAGTGTCTAGCTGTGTATCTCTGCTTGCTCACTGTGTATCTGCTTCTCCTTCTTCTATTGCTCTTTTCACATAAATTTCTTCCCCACCACTGCAATCATTCCTCAGCTGTCTTTTAGCAATCACAGCCCCTCCTCTCCCTGTCACCCTTTCACCTCAACACTCCTTCTCTGCTTTTCCTATTATTTTTTCCCCTTCCCTCTCACTCTGCCGTGTGTGTTCTCTGTGACAGACTGATTCTCACTCTGCTGATTTTGATGGAGAGGAGATGATATATTTGGGCAGGGGAAGCAGGGTGGAGACAGGCAACACTCCCCTTGTGGTAAACTGACAGCATGTACATCAAACCAGTCTTAACCAGAACCACTGGGTCTGTCAGTTTCACACCACCACCACACCTGGTTCAGATGCATTCATGACACTCTTCTCATTACCTTTTCCCTCTATGGTGATATTTGACAGAATGTCTGTGGTTTGTGAATCTAAAATAGTCTCTAATAATGTATATAATCATCTAGAATATCATCTCATGTGTTTAAATATGTTACATGTAACAAATGATACTGTGGTGGTGCTGATTGCTATCAAAAACTGGCAGGTTTATCAGATGTTGCACCGTCACCTGCCTTTACTGAAGATGATCATGTAGATTGGGAGTAACAAACTTTATGTTTTTCACTCATTTCATCCACTGTTTACAGGGTAAAAAGGTCTGCATGTCTAGTTTAAAATTTGGTTGAAAAGACATTTAGGTTGCATGTAATTATTGTTCTTGACTACATGTTGAAATAGAAATTTAGAAACAAGCAATCAGCAGATTTCTCAAAATTATTATTCACTGTCCTTTTAAATTTCCCCAGTTGCGCCTTCAAATTTGTTTTTGGATTTAACTCTTGGCATGGTTGCAGTTCCTCTCAGCTCTTCCCACAAAGCACAGACATGATAGATATCAATAAATATCTAAAACAGCTTCTGTATTGCATTGCACAGAAACAAACCTTCTCCTCCACTTTGACAAACTCTCCCTCTCAGCTCTCTTGTTTCATCAGCATTGTTAACAGCTCGCTCAGAGGCAACATGCAGAAATAAAACAGGGGTTGTTCAGCAGGTCTGTTGTATTCTCCGCAGGCCCCTGTGCTGTCGCCTGGTCTACAACACCCAGAGATTCAAACTGAGCCGTGATTCGAGCAGAGACAAGGAGGAGGAAATATACTCACATAGAGTGCATCAAATGTCAAGAAATGTACACAGTGAGGGCAGGGCGCTGCTGAGTGTTGGGGGGTCATGTCAGAACCACAGGAGGCAGAGTGCTCTTAATTTCACTCCTCCATTAATTAATCCCCTTCATTTCCTCTCATCTGTGTTCTCGCTTCCTCTGCTTGTTGCTAAACCGTTTCCAGGCTTTAAATGTTTGTGTGTGTGAGATGATTTGGGACGAGTACATTTTCACTGAGGGAGGTAGCTGCTGTCGTGGGTTTACCTGCCCAAGGAATACATGCATGTAACACATGTTTGCGCACACACACACACACACACACACACACACACACTGTGTAATGATATATTTTGTCAGATCTAGGGCTGCAAAAAAACGTTACATTAGCGATTAATCTATGAAAAAATATCCTACTGAAGTAATTGCATAATTATAAAATGTCAACATTCAAGAAATCTCTGCCACAGGTAACCCGAGTTCAAAGTAATGTTTGCTTATTTAATCTGACCAATAATCCAAAAGGATTTACTTATGTGATACAAGTTACATAATTTTTATTAATCAATTAATTGAACTGTTTCAGCATATTCCACTGATCTTTCTGTACATGTTGCTCATTATTACTCCACAAAAATGGTAAGACACCTCTGCCTCCTCAACTGTTCTAAAGATTTACACTAGAAAGAATAAGTATGACCTTGAATTATACTTTCATGATTAGTACTTTTAATAGAATAAAAGTACCACATGATGCTTTCTAAAAAGGACTCCTTTATACTTCCTAAAAGCTCCAAAAGATTTATCATGTTGGTTTCAAGATGATGAAAAAGGGCCTTGAAATACTTTTTTTTTTTTTTTTTTAAACAGTATTCATTACTGCTAGATATTATGTTACAAAAAGTCTCTGCAATAAAAGGTGGTAAGCTCAGTTAGTCGTCTATAACAGAAAATTGTTCTCAATTAGAACACACAACTGCCGTCAAAAATGAGATCTGGGTCACAATGAAAATTATTTTTGGAAATCTAGGTCTCTGGTAAAAAGGCTTAAAACCACTTGATGTAGATTACTAGCATTTATGAGATCAGACTTTTTCCCTTTTTTTTTTGCTCAATCTACCTTAGTCATCACTATTTTAATTCTAATCATTCCTGTGGACAAATACCCGAACTCGGCCTAGGCTGGAGGCTGCGGTTCTTGAGCCAGCAACACTTAGTCAGAGTCTGGCAGCGGGACGCAGCAGAGTGGCGCATCGGGAGATGAGACCAGAGTTTCCATTATGTGAGAAAGAGAGCAGGGAGTTTCTTCCTACCGCTGGCCTCTGCTGCTGGTATTATGTTGCCTCCGTGAGGAGAAGAGGGACCAGAAGGGAACACGGAAACGCAGTTGTGTTGCGGTCAGAAAATGGAGGAAAAACAAAACACAAAGAGAAGAAGGAGAAGAAAAAGCAACAGAAGTCACTTTTAGTGGTAATGTGAGACCAGACCAAGTCCTCCACCATACTATCATCATCTGCTGCCACCGGTTACCTAGCAACCCAAGCTGCTGTTTTGCAGGTGGCTCCTTCTTGACAACAAGGCTGGGTGGGGGCTGCTGCTACTGCTGCTGACCGCCAATAGTTACGCCCATTTACTGTGCCAGCGTGAGCAGTACTGTGCAAAAACATGACCCACTTCCCCTGGTCAACATAGAAGGAGGCCGTGTGCAGGTGGGTTGAACATGCCCATGGAGGGGCAAGTGGGAGTTACAATATGGATATGTGGCCTGTGCACTGTGTGTGGGGTTTGATTCGGATAGCCTGCCCCACTTTGGATCTGGTTCCAGGTTGGCAAAATAGCTGAAGGCTTCTCATAATAAATCGCAACTGAATTTTTGCCGTTTGAAACTGAAAATGGCGCTGGCAGTTGATTATATCAGCTGCAACTAATTAATGATAATTCTCCAAGTAACTTGCCGAAAGGCCAAATGAAAACTTGGTTGTGGTCTGGCTAATGTGCTCTCTGCAATTTGGCATCTGTGCTCGGCCAAAGATAATATGTTATAGACACACCTACATCACTTGTGAGTGAGCTGTGTGATTTTGCAGTACAGCAGAGTTTCACTAGTTTTCCGTATTTGGTACAAGTAGCTCAAGAAAAATAAGGTGTGCAAAAGTAAGTAAGCTAGACCAACTGTAGTTGCTTACAAATGGATTTAATCGGAATATTCATAACCCTATATTCATATTCAAACCTCAACACTAATCATGTGCAATGTGTGCAATCATGTGTGCAATAAGTGTTCTTGTGGAGGCACAAGTTACAAAGGCAAAGTGAGATCTGCATGAAAACACAGACACAACAGGAATGCACTTGCATGGATGTGGCAAAAAAAATGAATAGGAACCCACACACAACCTTGGCGGACTGCCAGTAGCTTGGCTGTGGAGCAACGGAGAAGCTTGGCATAACACACAGATGTGCCGTTGGGTCAAACAACACTTTGTTTTCCTTGCTCGAGTTTCCTCCCTTTTCATATGGCACTCTGCCAGAGTCTGTACTTCTGCTTTACTGAGGCTCGATTACTCATTTACTACTTCCCCCTGTTACACACACACACACACACACACACTTCATCTGCCAGTGACAGCGCGGTCACTGCATGAGTTGTAGTGGTTGAAGAGCGGGGTGATGTGAGTGAGAGGGGGAGGTGGGTATAAGCACCCTTTGTTGGCAGCCTCCTCCCTGGCCTTCCCTCCCTTCACTTCCCCAAAAGTAGCACACAAAGTCCACTTGTGCTGTGCTGCCAGTGCCCCACCCCTGTCACCACCCGGCTGCCCGCCACACCAATCTATCCCCTGCCAAGAAAATGAGCGCACGCCTGTTTTAAATGGTACCCTCTGTGTGCATGGGCGGGCCGGGCTCACACTCCACCACGGGACAAAAGCGGGTGTCAACAGCAGCCATGGCATAACCACGCCGGACCTCCCATCCCCTCCCTCTCTATTTTTTCCCGCTCTTTTATTCTTCGGTGTTGCCCCGAGCTACAGAGCGCGCTCAGAGCCCGAGACCACAGAGGAAGCGAAAACACAGAGTCAAGTGCAGCAGTGCAGGATAGGAAGACTTTGAAATGACAACACTGTTGGACTACTTGCCTACCTTACCAACTACACAACACACCAACTCACACACTCATTCTCCCCTCCTCTCATCCACACTCCCCCAACCTCTCCCCATCCACCTACCTCCGTCCCACCTCCCACATGCCAGACTTTATTAGACATCCAGAAAAGAAAACAGGAAACATGCTGCTTGCCTGGAAAATGTTGTCTCCACATTCTTCGTCTTAAAAACTACACATCGCAGCAAAAACAGAAGATGATTGAGGCAAGTTGATGGGGGTGAAAAAAGCAAAAAATCTACAAAAAAAAGGAAGTGGAAGACCCTCTGCAATAATCCAAGGAGGGTACCACCCGCCCCCCCCCCACACACACTTTTCTTCTCCTCCTCCTCCTCCTTCACTCCTTCAACCCCCCCCCCTCCCCCCTCCCCCGGAATTGCTCCTGTTGGTCTGGCCCTGTTGGTGAGGGGAAGGGGTTTTTGCGGAGTGAGCTCTCACTAAGCCCCAGGCTGCATCATCTTCAGTCCATGCCTTTGAGGGCTGGGAGAAAAGCACCATACACCCGCGGTGTCCTTATGTGCGCGCACGCGCGCGCGCACACACACACACACACACACACACACAGCAACGTGCAGGCTGGTGATCGAATGGTGGCGGGCTGGAGAAGGCGGGGGGGGAAGACGCTTTTGTCCTTTTTTTTTATCTCCCAGGAAGAAAAGGCAGTGGCCGGGGAGCGCGATGGCTGGAAACTCTCTCTGCCGCTTCCTCTGCTGTCAGCTGCGCAACATCTATTCACTGTTCGTCTCTCTCTCTGTCTCCCTCTCTTTAGCTATTTTCTCCTGCCTTTGTCTTAGCTGATAATAAACCGGGAGGGGCAGAAAAAAAGATCTTGCGGCAGAAAAAAAATTCTGTCTAAATCAAAAGTGCCAGCTCGAACATGCAGAGCTGAGCTCTCTGGACTCGCACAATTTACTCCCTGGCTGTGTTCACTTCATAGGATCCGCACACATAACACACTCGAGCACAATCCCTCCTCCCTTTTCCCTCCTCCTCCTCTTCCTCCTCCTTCCTTTTTTAATGTTTTATTTCTGATCTGGACTCCACAGTGTTTTAAGAACGCCTGCCCCCTTTTTCCCCCCCTCTCTCCCTCTCCCTCTCTCTCCCTCTCTCTCTCACACACACTCTCTTTTGCTATCGTTTGCTCCCAGCCTCACCTCCCTCACCCTCCCGATTATTTGGTTTCCTCCTTTGCTTTTCCACTTTCATCTAGACCTCAACAACCCCCCAAACATCAGACACACACACACAGACACAGACACACACACACACACACACACACACAGACACACACACACACAAACACACACACACAGACACACACACACACACTTTGCGGGTTACCGGGAAGAGATTGGAATAGTGACATACACACACTCACACTCCCCTCCCTCGCTCTGAATATGTAATACACACACATGCACACACACAGACTTTAAACCAGAAGAACAATGCAACATTCAAGCCACTCCAGCAATAACATTACAGCTGAAGAGTTGGCTGTTTTTCACACCATCAGGGAAGTCATCAGAGCCGAGTGTGTTAAGTTCACAGTTTGGTCCCCGGAGGGAAGAGGAGGGAGGAGAGAAAACTGACAGATCGCTATGCTGAATGACTGCGAGGACGAGCGGCTGAAAACACCCTGTTTAGAATAACAATGTAACCGGAGCCTCCCTGCAATTCTGCAGCGCGGCCAGAGCACAGCGACGCACACACACACAAATACACACAAATACACACACACACCACACACACACACACACACACACACACACACACACACACACACACACACACACACCTCGCCGGCTGCACGACAGGCGCAACCAATAGACAAAGAGCCCGGCACGGTCACACGCCAGAACCGATTATCACTGACAGTAAAGTGGTAAGGTGGAATGGCCCGAGCAGTTTTGGCTCAGGGACTGGGTGGATGTGTCCATCCCTGTGTGAAGCCACTTTTCTCTTTTGTGCAGAATAATTGTGTGTATCCACTTTAAGTGTGTTTTAATGGGTGTGTGTGTGTTTAGGTGACTATCAGGGCTGTTGTTTCTCACTGGCAAAAGCCCAACGAGCAGAGACACAGCATGTCAGGCGAGCCGCCGTCTGTAGCAATGACACATCTGAGGGAGTGTGACCATCAAAGACAGCAGCCCCCACTTCCTGCCAGCCGGCCAGACATGCCAGACATACCGTACACACACACACACACACACACACACACACACACACACCCACCCACAGTGTACACATATACACACTCTTGATGGAGTGTGGGGATACGCCTGCCCCTCTGATCTTTCTCTCTTCAATAACATTAAAGGATGTGCAGGAGGAGGGGGCCGCTGACTGACAGCAATATGTTAATATGGAACGTGGCGGATCACAGCTTCTCAAAAGACATTCTGAATGTGGCTCCAAAAGAGTCATTCTGCGAGGTTCTGGATATTTGAAGAAGAGGCGTTATTAATCAACACTGGAGATTTTCTGAATGGCTGCCAACTTCGCAGGTCAAAAAGTCAAATATTATTACACTCCAATGTAAGCTGTTTAGATTATAGATTATATCCGACCACTGCTGATCCCTTCACAGGTATTGTTGAGGTTCAGTCCCTGAAGGATCTCAGAGGGTTTTTTTGTGATTACTTGGCCCAGAATGACTGAATTTTAACAGTTTTCCAATAAAACTGACAAAACCATCATAACCATGATGATGTCATTTTGCAATAAATCTCAACTCGACTTGCTGATGAGAATTTTATGCAGTAAGTTCCAGTGAGAGTAAAAATTTACTTGTGAATCTTAGAGAATCTTAGTAGCTGCTACCCTGTACAAAAAACTAGACCAGAATTCAAACACACTTCTGTGACTTTCTTTTTACCCCAATCTAGTCCTTACAGTAACCTCAGTGCCTCCTTGAATGCAATGTAGAGTTGTCAGCTCCATCAATCAAATGATTAGTTTTGGGTATCAGATAGGAGATGGTTAATTTTTTTACATTTTAAAATGGTCAATCAAAAGTACGTGTTGAGCGCGACGAATAGCAAGTGCTGCCTGAAAAGACAAGTTGAGGGGAGGCCAGACTTTTTATTTATCTTTAGCTTATAAAAGCAGTTCTGTTCTGGATTGTTGTGCATGAAACTGCAGTTTGACAATTGTTTGTGTTAAATTAGTGGGGATCTGAAAACAAAATGCTAAATCTCTAAAATATCCCAAGGAGTGGTTGAGTTTGTGTTAATTCTTGTGATCACTAGTTGAAAAATTCCTAGAGGGACTGGCTCCCTGAAGATCTGCTTGTGATCTCTCCAGTAGGTGCCATGGCTGACAGTCAGAGGCTGATGAGTTCAAAGCGATGCAGGTCTCACTGGACAAAGCTGGTATGGGTTACGTGCAGCCACAGGCCTCGTGCGAACAAATGCTATATGCTCCTGACTCTGGCAGTTGACGTGCATGTCGTTACATGTTTGGAGGGGGCGAGTAAACATGAGAACAGATTGACACAGCAGGTCCTTCCCACACCAACACACACTTCCTCTTTCAGATGTAGAACAGCCAGACTTGGGTCTAAACCAGTATTGAAGGCTACATCTGTTCGCCCCTCAGCCTCTGTTGCCATACAGCAAAGCCACAACCGCACCTCAGAGCAAAAGCATTTGTGCCTGCGCATACCCAGATATTACTACTCAAACCTGATGCAGAACCACACACTCATTATTCAGATGAATTTATGACCTAAAGTAAAGCTAATCAATACTCAAACTCATTATGCATTTATTGTTTTTAGTTCTTTTTCCTCTCCAAAATCTGTGAACTTTAGTTGAATACATAAAACTGGTGAAAATCTGATTTTAAAAATTCCATGCATGCATGTCTTTTTTTTGTACTTGGAAGTTTTCTGATTTATAGTCTGCTCATGCTGCTTTTCTCCTCTCTTCTTTCATTTTTCTAATTTTTTATTTCATTCTGACCAGTCATTGTGTAAACACCGGTGATCCACCTTTTCTTGGATGCTTAGGCATGCACAAGGACTTAAAATCTGGGTAAAAATCTGTTCAAACCAATCTGCTTCTATTTAAAAATCTGGTTAGTTTTCTTCATAAAAAGTAAAAATCTGTATAAAATGAAAATTAATATAAAATGAAACTACAAATCCACGGTTATTGGCAAAAGAGTCTCTGTGCTATTTTTCCTTAGATGCATTTTTCTTTTTGAGGCATAATAATACATTTTTTATTTCAAATTCAGAGTTAAAAAATTCAGTTCAGAGTCTACATTCCATCTCCCGCCTGCCGCATGACTTCTTAAAGCCCTAACCTTTGGCACAGTGAGACATCAAGAGCAGCGGTCAGGGCCCGAACCTCGTTACAGTCTGTGTAGATTTACCATTGAGAGAGAGCCCTCTTCTTTAACCAGCCTAATTATACTGTAAGCACCCTTTTCCTGTAAGCACTGGAACTTGGCTGCTGAGAGGATGCTGGATGTAGAGGCCTGTTAAATCCCCCTAAAGCACTTAAAGGGATTTTAAGAAAGCAGTGTATTGTTACTGTACTGACTTTTTGTAAGTTTAACTTGGTATCCAGAGTATGTTCTGTCTTATATGCTTATGTTCCTAGTGCTTTGTAAATAAAGGGTCAGTGTGCCCAAATTATAAGACACATTTTCTCAAATACCTCTAGCGGTATCTAAAAAAGCACAGTTTTGGTTTGATGTGCTCAAGTTTTAAGATGCCTGTCAAAATGTCAATATCTCAAAATCGGTGCAAATAAAACCAGAACTATTTGCATTGCTATGTACAACTAGATGTAAGTGAGAAAATAAGTAAGTTTAAAAATATCAATATGTACTCATTTTCAAACAGGCCTTGTGTAGTCCAGTTGAATCGGTTTGCCTGCCACTTGGTACAATTTGTTTGGGCAGATCTGAACACAGCAGTTGTTCTCTGCACAAACACACCAAGTACCCTTTGAAGTAAGTGGTCTCGGTCCAGTCACAAAAAAAATTCTGGAGTGGTTTGTTTGCGGTGTAAATGTGATCTAACCTCAATCAGACACAAATACAAGGCATGCTCTGCAAGTCAGGGGTAAACAGATTCTGTAGACATTTATAGATTGCATACTGGGATGCGGATGAGCAAAATCGACGGTCGCTTGCAGCATGACTTAAGGTCTGACCTGGACTAGCAACAAAGTGTGTTGCCTTCTTGATCTTTGGTATATTTTCTCTCTCATTCCCGACCCCGATACATGACTAATCAGTAGAATGTTTCCCCTTGGCTGAACTAAGGAGAAAACGCAGCAAGTATACAAACCCATTATTCTGATGAGAGCAAAAAAACTATAGGTTTGAAAACACCCTTAGATTCCAACTGGGCAACTCTTCCTTGTACTCCATGCATAGTGAATGAATAATGCAATATCATCTTAGCTAAAGGTCATATTTGTTCGCTCAACAACTTTAGTTTAGAGCGTAAACCTCTGAGGAAACAAGCTGTGAGTGGATCCAACCAAAATATCAGGAGAGTCGCTCCTTATAACATAACACACTGTACAACACAGATACATGCTGATAAGAGGTTTATCCTTTTGCTCTATAAAAACATCCAAAAGTCCCCAGAGATTTTCTTTGTCCTTTATGCTCAGTGACACTTCTTTTTGGTATTTAGGTGTAAGATGGCTGGTCTTCAGGGGACTGGTCATTCTTGGTGTGACGAGAGGTGGAGAGAGGGCGGAAAAGAGAGCAGCACTAATGTAGTTTTTGGTGACTCAAGTCTAATTTCCCCATGGTGAATATTTATTTAGGAGGCCCAGGTTTATCCACTGAGAGGCACCTGCCTCTCAGCAGCCAGGGTAAATAACACCCCCTAGGCATGTATGCAGACACACACACATACTCGCAAGAGCCCCCACCCCCTCAGCAGCGGTCCAGATAACAACC